ATAATATATATACATAGCATGTATTATATTATATATACAATATATATAATAATATAATATAATAATAATACAGGAGGTTGGAAAAAAAAAGTAGCGACGTAAAGGGAAGAAAAAAAAGGAAAAGGGGGTAGAAGAGAAAAATAAAAAAGGGGGAAAAAGAGTAATCTCAGTGGAAACTGCTTGCCGGTAGAAAAATTTTCTTAGACCATAGGAATTCTCGGTGTGTATAATTAGAGAAGTAAAGCGTTATTCTCTTCCATGGGTTACCATAGTAAGACGAGATGCTGCTGTTACGTTGACCTGGCAGGAGGGTAGGTGGAAAGGGTGGATGGCAGATCGTAAAGACTGTAATGGACCCCTTTAACTTCCTAATGACCGATACCACGAACGGGCGGGTGAGCGAGCTAGGCGAGTGAGAATCGCCAGAGGGTAGGAAACGGACAAAATAGGGATGGGAGTTGTGCTTGCTAAGGGATGCCAGACAGCAAGGACGAAACTGTTAAAAGCAGTAGTTCTCGTTGTTGCTATTACTACTACTATTACTACTATTACTAATACTAATACGCGGAAAGCATATTACGAACGATCGTAAACCGATCAACAACGGTATTCCTATCTATCTATGTATACCTATATATATATGTATATATATGTATATATATGTATGTATGTGTCTGGTGTAAGAGAGGAAGGATCGTTCGGAAAAGCTTTCTTCGCGACAATAAATCAAACTGGCGAGCTAACCAAACGTTCAGCAGTCTGTTTCTCTCTCTCTCTCTCTCTCTATCTCTATTTATCTATCTATTTATCTATCTCAGTCTCTCTCGCAATCATTCACTCACTCACTCACTCACTCACTCATTCGTTCGCATTTCCACGTATTGTTCCTATTCGTGCGGCGTACTGTTCGGTTTCACGCGTACACCCGGACGATCATTGCCAAATGTATCGCCGAAGCTGGCCACAAGCGTGTAATGACCGCATAAACCAGTTATGGTTTCCTATATCATCGTAAAGCAACGTCGAACGTGGTGGGGTGGGGTAGGGGGTGGTATGAGGACGCCTGCAGGCTTTGCGGGTATGCACTACCCGTTCCGTGTGTTTCTATGTGTTGTATATTGGAATATACACGTGATCTTTTCTGTTTCTTTTTTATTGTTGTTTTTGTTTTGCTTTCTTATATTTATTTTTCATCTTTTTCAAATGGAAATTAAACGAAATTATTCGAAAATTTCTACGCGAATAACGACGAGACGTTTAAACGTTGTAATTAGGTATAACAAAAATCATATGGTTTTGTTCTTTTTTGTTTGTTTGTTTATATCGTTTTAAATTCGACAAACGTTAAACAAAGTAAAATAAATCTAACACGATCATACGATTAATTATAATTGTTTCGATCAATAAAGAACAATTTATTTTCCATTAGGTAATAATACGAACATTTAATTTACGAGAAATATAATCTATAATAATAATAATATTAAATTTAACAATAATAAATTTAAAAAAAAAAAAAAGAAAAGAACAAAAGAAAATAAAAACAAAAAAAAGAAGAAAGAAGAAAAAAAGGAAACGAAACGACGGGGCCGAAGAAAAGTCGAAAAAAAAAAAAAGGAACCCGACGTCGATTCGTCGAATTAAAATCTGATGGTTTAGTAGATTCGGGGAGAGGGTGGGGAAGAGAGGTAAAAAATAAAAAGTAGGAAGAACAAAAAAAATAGGATTGATAAAAAGGCGTAAAGGTGGTGGTCGACAGGCGTTCAGATTTATCGTAGTTCGAAACGAGTTGTAGATTTTAGTTTGACTTCCAACCCCCCTTCACCCTACCACCTACCCATCCTACTTTCTCTTCTCTTCAACTAAATAGTTTAACGTCTAATAATATATTTTTCACTTACTCCAACACTAAAATCAACTATATATATATATTTTTGTTCTCTTCTCTTTTCTCGTTTCAGGACTCGTCGTTGGAACTCAACTCCGACGCTAACTCAAGGGGAAGTTCTGGCCCGGTCATGGCGTTGACTAATGGATCCTTGTCCGCGAAGGAATAAAGTCAAAGGGAGGGAAGGAAAAAAGAAAGAAAAAAAAATAAGAAAAATTAACCACCAAAGGAATAATATGGTCTTCCCTATAAAAACCCCTCCCCCCAGGGATTCACGAACCAACCAAGCCACCAAGCCAACCCACCAACGAGACATATCGATCTCCTTTTAAGGATATATATACACATACACACACACACACATATATATACACATTTAAAACTGAGAAAGAGATAGATAGATAGAAAGAGAGAAAGAGAACAAGAGAGAGAGAGAGAGAGAGAGAAAATCGTCATGTATATAGCTTAAATGCCTAACAAATAATTCAGGATCGTTCCATGCCATATATACCACTACTATTACTACCACTAATACTACTACTACTATTAACAATCTGTGTATCGTCCGTTTCTAACGAACATTGGCGAATTTTCGAATATCAATCGAAGAAACACGTTGAACTAAACGGAACGATGAGAGTTTGGGGGTAGAAGGGAGCGTGGGGGTTTATGGGGGATGAATGGAGAAGGTGAAATATTATCGAGAGAATGCGATAATATCGGTGAATAGAGAAAATCAAACGTTTTGCTATCTTACCCCTCCCCCCTGTCTGCACTACCCTGCCTCCCCCTGTTTGGAATTTGAACGCGTTCGTTGGTTAAATCAATTTGTGATTTTTTCTGATAGTCAAATATGAAATGACACGTACGTACGTATCGAGCTACAAGTATCGTATTTTTTTTTCCCCAATTCGTAATTTGAACAAAAAAAAAAAGAAAAAGGAAACAAAAATGTGTCGACGATATTTTTATTTCGAGGGGGAAAAAAAAATCCCATGGAATATGTTGTCGCGTATCATCTTAATCAAAAGTTAAATTCGATATTAATATTATCACTTATTAAAAATAATTTTTATCAATTATTTGTGCGATCATATATATATATATATATATGAATCAATTGTTTAAAAATAAAACGCGTTAATTTTATTTTTTTTTTTTTTTACATTAACGTCGTCGTCCCTCCCCCACCACCACCACTTCTTAACCTCCCCATAAAATATAACAAAACTAACGACAATTATTGTATTTGTTATTCTTGGTTCCCCCTACCCCCTACCCACCCCCTGATTTCATCGTAATCTGTGATAATATCACGAATCACGTTGTTTCGAACGATTTTATGGATATTATTATTATTGTGTCTGTCATCGTAAGTTTTTTTTTTATTTCTGATAATTGGACAATACCTAATCGAAAATGGAAATGAAAGTTACGAGAGAAATGGCAAAGAAACAAAAAAAAGAAAAAAAACAGAAATAAAACGAGTCCGATGATATTTCTTCGATGTTAACCAACCCCTTTCTAATCACCAATCCGATTAAAGTAGCAAATAACAAATTTGTAAATGTTATATGTATACCTGTTTCCCCCTCCTCCTCCTCCTCCTAATTTTTTTCTCTCCTCCCCCATCCCCATTCCTTTTATTTTCGTTTTTTTTTTTAATTAATTTAATTGTTAAAAAAAATCATTTAAAAATTTTTGAACGCTTATATCATTATTATTATTATTATTATTATTATTATTATTATTATTATTATTATAGAGGTAATCAGGCCGTCCGTACGTGATAAACGAAAATTCTACGAAGGATTTATATTATAAACGTGTTTTTTTTTCTTAATACACACATGTCACGAAACAGAATGTGAGAGAGAGAGAGAGAGAGAGAGAGAGAGAGAAAAAGAGAGAGAGAGAGTATGAAAACGCAAAAAGAATTAAAAAAAAGGAAATCCCACACGAGGAACAGGGAAATATGCGCTATTGCAAATAAGAAATATTTTTGTTGCGTTTTACTTTTTGGCATAAATACTTCGCAAAAAAAAAAAAACAAAAAGAAAAAATACGGCGATAATGACGAAGGCAAATGCAGAAAAAGAAAAAGAAAAAATAAATGAAGGAAAGAAAGAAAATGAAAGATGGAAAGAAAGAGAGAGAGAGAGAAAGAGAGAGAGAGAGAGAGAGAGAAGGAAAGATTAATTACCCTCTTAGAGAGTTGTAAATATTACGCTTGTAATTTAAGTTAGTGCTTACAAAAAAAGAAACAGAAAAAGAAACAAAACAAAAAAAAAAAAAACAGAAAAAATTTAAAAAGAGAAAGTGAGAAAGTAAAAAAGAGAGACAATTAATGGGGGGGTATGTTATTTTATCGCGATTAATATTACGATAATAACGTATATTTTATACGAGCGTATAAAAAAGCAAAGGAAAGAAAACCAACGACAAAAAGTAAAAAAAAAAAAAAATCAAACAAATCCTTCGGACGTTCGCGAAACGTTATTAATTAAATGTTTTCTTTTCTTTTTTTTTTCCCCCCCCCCTTTTTTGTGGTTGTTCAATACATGCATAGATGAAAAGAAAAACAAAAGAAAACATGGAAATAAATCGATGAAAATATCTCACCCCCTGAACCGACCACCCCCACCATCTCCATCACCACCACCACCACCACGTTTATGTGGCATGGAATCGACCACCTGTATCATTTATCGATATTTACGGGGTATTTTAAAATGAAATATTATTAATCGAGCATAAAAAATGTGCGAGGGCGGGGGGGCGCGGGGCGGCGGGGCGGCGGGCGGGGATATAGATCGTGAAAATAAATATTTATTTCATGATTCGCAAATGGATTTCTCCTCCTCCTCCTCCTCCTCCTCCTCTTCCACCTCCTCCACCACCTAAACCTCCTACACCTCCTACACACACTTATATATATTATTATATGAACCTTCTTCCTTTTGTAGCGTTTAACACACGAATAAAAAGTATACATGCACGTATACACAATATACTTAAGTATTTACCCACTTAAACCAGCCCCCACCCTTATCCACACACAAATACACACATAACATACGTCATACGTGTATACAAAACACGAGAACACAAAGAATTAGAAAGATAAGAGAAAGAGGATTGAAAAAGAAAGAGAGAGAGAGAGAGAGAGAGAGAAAGAAATAAACCATTAAAAACCAAAACAAAAAATAACAAAAGAAACCATTTGAAGTTTTATCGAGAAAAGAAAAAAAAATAAAAAGAGAGAAAAAAAAAAAAAATGCGAGTAATATTAGCGTGCAATAATTGTTAAGAGACGTTCAATATATCAAACGTGTATTTTTGATGATGTACGAATCCAATTTTCTTCCATTTAAGAAAACGAGAGAGAAAGAGAACGTGCGAAAGAATGCGAGATGAAAGAGAGATAGAAAAGAAGAGAGAGAAAACAATAATCATGATTTCAATTCGACCCTCTCACTTTTATTTCGCTAATTTTGTTTGTTTAATTCTTGTTTTGTTTTTCTACTTCTTCTTCTTCTTCTTTTTCTTTTTCTTCTTTTTTCTTTTCGTTCGTTCGTCTCGCCTGTAAAGTCGCATTATCGTAGGAATTGGTGAAGGAGGGTGGGTAAGGGTAGGGGGGTAGGGGGGTAAGGGAGAGTTTTTGGTAACTTTATACAAACGATCGTATTAAACAACAGATTTGACAATCCAGCGATTAATTTACAATGGCGATAGAAAACAAAAACAAAAACGAAAACGAAAACCAAAACCAAGGTGAAAGAAAAAAGAAAAAATAGAGAAAAAAAAAAAAAAAAAAAAAAAAAAAAAAAACGGGGGAAAAAAATAATTACAATAACTCGGCAGATGTCCACGTGGCGATCAAATGATGTTTAAACAAAAAAAACAAAAAAAAGAAAAAAGATTGCTATAATTAATATGTTTATTGTTTGTTCAATTGATTTTTCTTTTTAAAAATAAGCTAGAAAAATAATTGATTTGTTTAAGGGCCGTTAACGTATATATATACGTGGCTTCCATTGAATAAAATATAAAACAAACAAAAAGATTTACAACACAATGCACAACAGAATGATGTTACCTGCACTTTAATATACCTTTTTTATTTTCTTTCTTTTTTTTTTTCAATTGATTCTTACCCTCTTTTCTTCTTTTTTATTATTTTCTTTTTTCTTTTTCTTCTTCTTATCGAAGCTTCGTTAAAATAATCGTAAAAAAACAAAAAAAGGAAAAGAAAAATAAAAAGTTATGTCCACAAGAGATTATGATAACGAGAAAATAAAAAAGAAATAAATGAATAACGAGAAGAAAAAAAACAACACTTAATTTAAACAAAACAAAAACAAAAAAAAAAAGAAGAAGGAACAAAAGGGGAAGAAAAAAAAAAAATAAAAAATAAATAATAATAACGGGCGAGGGGGGAAGAAAAAAAAGAGATACGGGAAGAAAAGAAAAAGAAAGAAAGAAAAAAAAAAAGAAGAAGAAAACATAGAAAATTATATTTGGTATGAAAATAAAAAAAAAAAGTGAGTTATAATATATGTATCGCGTCCTCATCAATTTGTAGTTTTAAGCTGCGTTATTTGCTCGATAAAATCGAGTACCCTGATTTATTAGAGTTGATTCGATATCGAAACGAGTCGACTGTATCGTATACTAAAAAGAAAAGGAAAAAAAAAAAAAAACAAGAAAAACGAAAAATAAAAATAAAAAAAGAAAAGAATGCGAAAAATAATATCGAAGAAGCGAAGAATGCAATTCTCGTTGCATCAGCAGCCGCAACGAAACTAAAAAAAGCTTCGTGTCCGTTTTTCTTCACGCGTTTAAATTTAAGTTAAGAGACTAGGATCCTAGGCGAGGAAAAGATATTTGTTCATAGTCCTACGTATAAATAAAAATATATATATATACATACACATTATATATATATATAAACAATGTTTTATGGAACATTATTATCTGAATAAAAAATATATTACGTCTTTTATCCACTTATCTTGACACTAAAACCTATCAACACTTCATGCATACCTTAAATCCTACCTTGAGTGGTCAAATAATAATCCCTATGAAAATAAAAAAAAAAAAAGAAGAAAAAATAAAACCATATATAATAAATCCCAATAAAGAAAATAATATTTTATTATAAATATAATCTCTTTATTTATAAAATTAATAATATACGTTTTTTATACACTTTTCTTTTTTTCTGTGTGTGTGATTTTTACAAATTAAAGTAAACGATCATTCATTCGATCACTCGTTGTAGGTTTAATGTTAAATTTTGTTTCGAACAAACGAGCGGAGAAGAAAAAAAAAACAAAAGAAAAAAGAAAAAAAGAAAGAAAGAAGAAACATTTTCATGCTAAATTGGGATTGGGATGGTAACGAGAATGAGGATGACGTTGGGGTTGGGGCGGGGAGGGGGTGTGAGTTAAAAAAAATTGGTGTCGACGATGCTGTGTCGTAAGAGTCTCTTACCCACTCGTTGGTTTTTCGGTATCTTTGCACGTTCTTCCTGTTCGCGTCTGCCCATTAACGTTTTCTCTCTTACCGTCTATTACCTCACTTCTTACTTTATATTTTCCTTCCGCTTCCACCCCATCCCCAACCCACCCCCAGCCCCCCCCTACCCATACTTCTCCCCCCTTCCATTCTCGCCAAGAATAACGAAACACAGAGAAGGGGAATGAGAGAAAAAGAGAGACGCTCGTTATGCAAAAGGATTTCACGAACCACCACACTCGACGTTAAACGAGCCCCCCCCCCTCTCTCTCACTCTCTCTCTCTCTCTCTAACTCCTTTTTTTCTCTCGACTTCTCAACCGGTACGACTAATGAGTCTGTTGTTACCCCAATTAGACGAGAATGAGAGGAAAAGAAAAAAAAAAAGGGGGTGGGAGGGAGGTTAAGGAAGAAAGGAAGGGGGTAGGAAAAAAAAAATTTACTCGGGTGGTTGACGGTCTTGATACTAAAGAACCTACCTACCTACGTACCTTGATACCTCTTTTGGTAGCATCCAAGCACGCTAAGTGTTCACCTCTTCGACTCGTACGCGGTTTTCTTTAGTTGGGTAGTCACGTAAAAGATGAATGGGGAGAAGAAGAGAGAGAGAGAGAGAGAGAGAGAGAGCTGGTAAAAGTCCTTCAACAACAACAACGACGACTACGACGACGACAATGATGCTGAAATAGTGTGTAATAACAAACCACCGGCTCTTTTGATTTAATCCGTGAAAAATCCTCAAGGTAAGTTCCGACTAAAGGGAAAAGAACCAAAAAAAATAATAGAAAAGTATACCCGCCGCTGGAACAAACAAACAAAAAACAAAGAAATAAAATAAAGGGAAACGCGAAGAGAACAATAAATAATTTTGTTCTTCCAACCATGCGCGCGAACTCGTAATGTGAACGGAAAAGAGAACAAAACAAATAAATCACACAAGTAGAAGAAAAAAATTCCAATCGTAAAATTTACCCAATGTGGATAACGCAACCAACCACCATTGCAACCACCCCCTTTTACTATTTTTATTACATATTTCGGTATTATTTTTTTTATACGTGTTTGTTTATGCGAATTTGCTTCTTTTTTTTTTTTCTTCTCATACCCTTCTTTATTTTCTTGTTTCTTTTCTCCCCGCCCCCCTCCTCCTACATCTCACTTCTGACTTGTAAATATGGATTGTCGTTTTAACGTTTGTGCGTGTTCGTTGAAATAAAAATAAGACTAAAGATGTATGTATGTGTTTGTTTTCCTTTTTGATCGTGTATTCTTTCTTTTTTTTTTTTTTTCGAACGATCCCCATTTTTTTAGCATTATTTATCTTACCTATTTACCACCTACACGTGAAATTTGTTTTGGAAATATGATTAACTAAACAATCGGATTATTAATTGGATATATAACGATTTAAAAATAATACGAATGTAAGATGAAAATATACAATGATACGTACTTTTTGTTTTTGGATTCTCTACACGTGAATACAAATTCTGCGATATGAATTTATGTATTTTGAAAAAAAGGTTTCCTACGTTATCTAACAGTACCGATGCAAGAATTGGTTTTTCATTCGTCGATAACGCAAACATAAATAAATGCTATTGAATCGGATTCAATTAGACGCTTTTATTTGTTTTTTCTCATCGTCGATATACAATTTTGTACGGTTATTTGTTTGACATTTATTAAATTAAACGCATTTTCCGATTCGTTAAAAAAGAAATGCGCAAAATTGGATCGAAACTGAACTAATATGGCGGCAATGGTACCACTACGTGGGTCAATACTTCTTATCTAAGTATGATACGAACTATTATATAAATGAAATGTTCAATCTAATAATTATTATTATAATTTTGTTAATAATTAAAAGCTATTTTCTCTCAATGAAAATTTGACTCGTAAAATATATCGATTTTTATGCAGATTGTACAATAGATGGTTCAATTCAAAACGCCTCCTGTCATGAAATGCCTGAACTAATTTAGCTCAGTCGGTAAAATATATTATATACAATTAAAAAACCCATTATATTTATAAATTATTTTCTATAATAATATGAAGACCAAAGAGTTTATTAACAATAATTTAATATTGATGAATATAATACATCAACACGTACAATTACTACACTTTACACATTATCCAGTTCGTAAATTATTAATGTATATTTTATTTATCACAAATATTTTTAAGGTCTGAAAGAAAAAGATGACATCAATTACATAAAACGATGTAACAATCATGCTGCTTATTTTTATGATCATTTGTATACGCTTAAATATTTCTTTAATTATTATTATCGAGAAATTGTGTAACGTAGAAAAGTCCGATACGTCAAATAAATCTATCGAAAAATAGGTTACAGGTATGCAAGGAAATAGTTTATATAACTTACTTCAATGCTGAACGACGAAGCATAAGGAAAGGTATGGAAAAGCCACTTCCCAAAAAGGCGCAAAATATTCCCACTACCACATATTTGTTTCTTATGGGGAATGGTACATTCTGTGTAAGAAAAACAGCTGATTATATCATATACGAACGGAAGGAACATTATTACAAATGAAAAATTATTTGTAAGTATTTTACTTACGGAACCGGGTACGCCATCATTGTGATCTGATCTTCGTACAACGCTCGTAGTAAATCTTCTGATTAATTGCCGTCCAAACATTGTAAAGAATTTTGGCTGCGTGTATATTTCTAATTAAATTTTTCCTCAACAAGGTCTACCTCCTCGACGTTCTTATCGACAATATGGTGTCAACTGAAGGAACACGAAATATGACGAATGAGATACGTCGAACTCTCCATACGAAAAACGAACGCTGCTCGAGGCGCCATCTGTCGACTTGTAAACTTATCAACTGAGTTTAGTAGTATAAAAAGCAACATAAAAGTTAGCATACTTTGGAACAAATGACCAATAAGATACGAACTTAAACAATGTGTATAGAACGCCTTCGGCTGATGCGTATAAAACTATGGCCGTTAGAAAATTGCGCCATGTTTTAGTTCACGAGTGAATTGTTTTCCGAAAGTGAATATATTAAAGTAATCTTTCTTAAATATTCTATTTCTCGAAGATTGACGAAGAAGTAAGCTTGAAAAAGTTTCACGTGTTAGCACGATAAAATAGGTCAAATAAAAGTAGCCAAAGATAAACAAATTATTGGCAGTAAAGAATTTAATTTCTTAGTTCTTTTTAATTCATCGTGGGTAAATTTGATCCGTGTGAGATCGAACTGTTTAAATATTTCAGTATGGTATTGGTAAACAAAATGTCGGTAGATAATCTCAGTGATGCAGAATTACGTAGTAAGCTTATGGAATATGGATACCCGGTAGGACCTGTAACACAGACAACCAGAAAAATACTTGCTAAAAAACTAAAGACTCTTATTGAAACCCGAGGTCTTGCTGGAACGCGTCATTCGTTAGCTGCCAGGTATATACGTTACACTAAAATACCTTCCTATTTATATTAATTATCAGAATGTTAATAATAGAACTTGACTTTAAGATTTCATAGGAAGATATTTATATTATACAGAATATATAATCCATTTACAGATACAGCAGCGATGAGACCGATGAGGATACAGCTTCAACCGTTGTTAAAAAAAAAAAATCAGCATCTAATACTCGTCGACAAACTTTGGCCAATCCTATGCCCCCACCATCTTCTATGATACCAGCACCTTCGGAAACTAAAAATTTGATGAAAGATCCCAACGTAGAAATTGTTGATAATATTATACCAGAGCCGGTTGGTTCATCAACATTTTCTAATCGTACCATTACAAGTTTACAAAAGAAACATACAAAGATTTATAATTCAGCCAATCGATCAGATGGTTTAGAAACTGGTTCCGATTCAGATATTAGAGAAGAAAACGAGTCGTCGAATTATTTGCAAAGTAGATATTTAACTAATGTTGGAAAGTTGTATGGTTCTAAATTACATACCGAGCCTACGGTTGGAGAAGAACCATCTTCAAAATTATACGAATCAAAGTCAAGACCTGTACATACTCCTAAAGATAATAAGTATGTCGAACCTCCTTTTAAAACTTATAATACTTTTATATCACCAACTAAGGAAGATACGAATGTAAGAGATTCGAGAGATTTGCTTTCGAACTATGACACTCCATTTTTATCAGAATTTACACGAAGGCTCAGTTCTAGAGCGACATTGGATACCCCTTCTACATCTCACTCTTCGATGAATAGTAAGTTATTAGAATGATGTAACGGAACATTATCTAACTAGTTTTCATTTGCAGGTTCTATAATACGAGACTCACCCTCTGTTTTTCCTGAAACATACAAGAAGGATTTAAATCATCATTTCTCTTCTTTAAAATCGTTGTGTTCAACTTTGCCTGCGGGGTATGTAGAAAATAATAAAATACAATTTTAAATCGATACGATGACATTGACAAGTTTTGTTCAGTTTAAGAACAGTTGATGCAATTACCGACAGATCTCGTAAAACTATTGGCAAAAAATTCAAGTCCAACTCGAATAAGGAAGATTTACGGAACAACCAAAATATGATATCTGTCTTCCTAGTGGTGGTACTTGCTTTATTTTTTGCAATCCTGGCAATAATATACTTGGGGCTGGGTGGTAAAAATGAAACTTTCCCATCATTATCAATGGGTAGGTATGCAGAAATATAATTCTTTAAGTATCATTTTATTTTCATATTATTGCTAGATAAAAACAAGTAAACAATTTTGCGTATTAGATAATTTTAATTAATTTTTACAATTATTTTACTAATATTATGAGATACACACGAACAAAACTAAAGTAACGTAATGTCCGGCTATTTATTTTTTGCTTTTTCTTTTAATTTATTTCAAAGATTGCTTTCAAACTTCATTAAGTGTTCAAAATTTAATAATGTACATCCTTTTTAAAAATGTCTAATAAATGAGTTGATTATATTATCAGTTTTCACGTTATTTCCTGTTCCCATTATTTCAATATTTTATTTTAAGATCGATTTATTACATTAAGTTTGTCGAATGAACTTTTATTTAAATCGCAATAATATAATTAGTTTTAATAGAATAAATATATAAATCACAACGAAAATCTTCTTGTATATAATCACATCTGTAAGAATTAACATTTTATGAATTTATAGATAGCGATATACCGCTGTGTTTTATGGGAACGCCTGATCTCAAAGCACCAGGAGTTAATTGTGTAATGAAAGAAAATGTAGAAAAAGTATTACTATTATTAAAACAACTTCAACCGGTTTTATTGAAAAAAGCAATATCTGTCCTATGCGACAATTCTAGTGATATACCATATTTAACGGACTCGGAAATTGAGGATATGTTGTTAAAAACTAAATTGGTATGTTTCTGACATTATTTTAAACACTTACAACGTATTTAAAATATATGATACAAGTGAATCTTACAGGACCCTCTAGTAGTGAAAGAATATTTACAAAATGCACAACTTCTTATTATTAAGAATCCTCAATGGGGTATTTCACTTATTGATGTAAGCGATGGCGATAAGACTTCTGGAGAAGTATTAAATTCGTTGGTAAATTCTAAACAAAATATTCACTTATTTCTTCTTCTCTATCACTATAATATATACATATATAAATTATGTTAATGTAATATATAAATTAAGGATAGTTGAAATAAAACATATCATGTTTTGTTGCAGGATAGTATATTTTCAGCACGTATAAATGGAAAAATTGGAATGATTATATTGAATCCAGATCGACCATTGCAATGTCATATCAAGAATAAGTTATTCACCATTTTTTCAACTCTCCTGATAATCTCCCTTGGTAAATTCCTGACAGATAGATTATTCGAAGAAAGCACCTAAAATATTCTCCAATTAACATGAATTTATTATTTTATATGTAACCCCCCCAACAACAACAAAAAAAAGAAAACAAAAAACAAAGTTTTATGCATGAGATATAAATATTTTGCATTCATGTGATGAGATATTATCGTGTTGACGAAATATGGACTTTTTTTAATTATCCGAATGGATATTATTTAGATATTATTTAGATATATATGATACTTATGATATATTCGTAGGCATTTTAGCAGTTATCGGAACGCAGAAATTATTCGTTTGGTATAAAAGATATCAAAAATCAATGGAAAGAGAACTATTTAAGCTAGTTAGCGAAATCATTAACATCGTTGAACAGCATCATCAAAATGTTGGATTATCATCCTCCGGTACGACGCAAGATACATTTCTTGCGATCAATCACGTGCGTGATAATTTGATTTTGCCGAAAGATCGTAAAAGAATGTCTAGTTTATGGGAAAAAGCTGTTAAATTCTTGGACGAGAATGAATCTAGGTAGGATTATATATTACTTTTCTATATATAATAATAATTAAGAAACACAATTCGCTTGCACGCAGTATTGTGAAATAAATTATTATTGTTCAATTGTAGAATTCGAAGAGAAGTACAACAAGTTGCTGGTGAAGAATTTCACGTATGGCGTTGGTTACCTAATAATACTCTTAACGTGTCTAACGCGCAAAGTCCTTCGTTGAATAAAAAATCCAAAGTATGGCAAGGACAAGCGTTTGAAACTATGGAAGGATCGGTTAATAGTTTAACTTGTTCGCCGACTCCCTGCTTAAAAATAAGACATATGTTTGATCCAGATGCGTATGTATTATTTTGTACGTCTTTTCTAGACTATGTATATATATATATATGTGTGTGTGTGTGTGCGTGTGTGTATATGTATATGTATATGTATAATGTTACGCGTATGTAGCGAAAATGACGACAACTGGGAGATCAAAATACAAGATGCCATTTTAGAAAAGTGTGGAGAAGGTGTGCAAATACTTCATATTCGAGTGGATCGCGGTAGCCGAGAAGGTTGCGTTTATATGAAGTGCACATCGCAGAGAGATGCTGGAAAAGCTTACAGAGCATTACACGGCTGGTGGTTTGACGGTAAGTTTCAAATTAAATATTCAATAAATATTTATTTTAAACGTACAAGAGAGAAAACGATTATTCTATGTGGTTCTATTTTAGGTCATTTAGTAACCGTCAAATATTTGCGACTTGAACGATATTACAAAAGATTTCCAGACGCTGTGCAATGCACGACGGCTTTGAAACCAAGCAATAATAAACGGTTATCCATGCAGGCACACTATTGGCAAAGTCCGTTAGAATCTAATTAATGGAAACTGTCCACCACATGCTCCATCATATCTTGCAAAAAAAAAAAAAAAGAAAGAAAGAGAAAAAAAGAAAAAAGAAAAGAAAGAAAAAAAAAATAACATTTATTTTATATAGTCGTTTGTATTTGAAATCTATGTGAATATTTTTATGTTTCGCTATAATCTCACAGCAATACAATGCGAAATTATTATAATTCGTATTGATCGTTCGGAATAAAAAAAGAAGAATCAATTTTTTTAAAAAAGTAAGAAAAAAAAAAAAAGAAACGTTTCCATCGTCATTCTTTAAAAGTCATTTTTACAATTTTATTTATCTGACGTTATTTAAAAAGAGGGAAAATAATAATAATAAAGAAAAAAAAAAACAAAAAAAAAAAAAAAAAAAAAAAAAAAAAAAANAAAAAAAAAAAAAAAAGCAACAACAATATTTCTCATCTATCGAAAGAAAAACTTTTATTATGTGTCATTTGTAAAAATGTAATGTAAAAAAATATTATAGAATCTTCGTATATAGAGTAATATAGGCGGGGGTACCAGATTATCAAAGACAAATAATAATCTTCCATCCTTTTAAATTATTTTTTATTTCTCCTATATTACTTCGTTTTGTTTTTCTTGTTCTTTTTTAACTGTCTCCGACATTAAATATTCTCTTTTTTTTATATAATATATATATTACGCTTTATTCATGGAACAATAAAAAATGCACAATTCAAATCAATATTTTTTTTCCTACGATTCTTTTTCTACTAATTGTTATTTTTATAATCGATCTACCGTTTGATATCTGGACCTGATTAATAACTAATAATGTAAGGACGTTATTTAATCTGTTAACCGTGGAAAAAAAAACGAATAATCATTTTTTTTCCCCTCCCCAAGGATGAATATATAATTAACTCGTTTGCATTTGTTTGTCATCAGGATTAATAATAAGACGTTATACATTTTCATTCATTTGAAAGATGTATAATTTACCTTGAAAGAGATAAGTGTTAATGCATTCATTTCCTCGGTTAACAGATTGATATTTAACTTTGAAGCCTACGAGTTGGGTGCTTAAGTATTGAAAGTGTCCTTAAAAGCACCCTATAATAGGTACACTATGATTAAGTTATAAATAAAGACAGAAGTCAATGAATAAATCTGTCTTATGTAATGTATTTGTACTAACTTTTTATTTTATGTTTAATAAAATTCAAAATCGGATATATACAAATTTTTAATCTTAATTTAAGAATGAAAAAACGATATTCGATATATTCTAATATAATAAACGTTCAATAGTAACAAAATATAAACCATCTTCTTCCCATTTAAGAAATATAACATTATGTAATTACTCTTTAGCACAAAAGTTATTAATTGACTTTGTACATATAGTCGTCTGTCTTTTATTTTAATATATATACATATATATATATATATATATCCGAATATTTAAAATTGATCCCCCCTCAAACTGTTTTACTATTAAATGATTTTACAAAAACTATATTGCTCTGAATAGGATAACATGTGATACTCCTTATAAAAAAAAAAGAATAAAATATAACGATTGTAATAAAAAATAAAAAGCACTCTTGTATAAAAAAAGAAATAAAGTCTTAGAGTTAATAGTTACTATAATTAGTTGTAATAATTGGTCCCAGTAACGTTTACTTTTCAACTATACGTTACGGTAACGAGATGTCAACATATATATATATATATTTTATTTAAAAACATTTCATATGTTTCTTTTCGTTGTGAAAATAAATTATTCCTTCTTTATTTTCTCTCTCTCTCTATCTATCTTTCTCTATTTTAAATATATATTATCGAATACCTTTTGTTTACCATTAGCAACACTATCTATTTAAGTACTTCTTGTAAATGTATGTTTTTATCTACAAGCCTACTTATTTATACCGAGAAGAGAGATAAAAACAAACAAAACAATTATTTTCTAACGCAATGTAATTTCCATCGCAACGTGCAATATATAATAACGTGTAGAGAACAAATCCATGCAATTAAAACAATGATGACAGTTTGAAACTTGACCAATCTCATGCCCATTACTGATACAATTTTTTCCGATAATTCCCAACGACAATATATTTCCATGCAAGATTCTTTATCAAGACTGTAAATGCTTTGCATGATACCTTCGAATGCATACCTAAAACAATATTTAATAATAAAATGACAAAAGTAAATCTATATTATTATTATATATATATATATATATATATTCTTACCTGAAGAAACTGATTGAACATAATGGTTGATAAAACCATGCAATTTCATTGATTTTTAAAAAAAAACCTGCGAATAGGAACATCGGTATGCTCAATGCAGGAATAAGGAAAGTTCCGATCTGATAAAAAGAAATTAATTGATAAAATGTAAAAGGTAAACGATAAATTGAATTATCTTACTTTTATTTTTGTTTGGAAAACGTTTCAAAAAGTCATTTACTTAAGATCCGTACATATAAATAATATAATTATCTTAATAATTAATATTTAATAGAGATAAAATACATAACAATATTATTTGTTTTTATTCACTTACATCAGTATTAAATGCTGCACCTACTGCTATTCCAACTGATTGAGCAAGAATAGTATGCAGGATACAAATTAACCCAGTTTTCATAAAACTATTCCATTCCATTGGTTGACCGGTTAGATAATATGCTATAGCAAAAAAAAAAGTAGGACAGAGTAACTGAAAAACAGAAATGAAAATTTTATGATTTTTTCATTTAATACTGAGTCACGTCAACAACAATATTTTGTTTCCCCTTTACCTGTAAAGGTAAATCTGAGATTATTTTTGATATATAATAAGGCATTAATTGATACCAATTATTTAAATGTTCTCGATAGAATACCGATGCCTCGGTAGGAACTGTAAAATAACAAACAAATATTACAAATATAATAATAAGAAAAATAAAATCAACTTGTGCATATATTAATTGTGCGTACAGTAAAGGTCATTTAAAATCGTATACGTTAAATTATTTAATATTCTGAATATATTCAAAAATTCATCATTTTTAAACAAACGTGCTCTTTGTATCATGTATATATATATATATGTGTGTGTGTGTGTGTATATGACAAACACATTAATATATTGATAATTTATTAACTGACGTAGTTAACGTTTTACGATTTTAAATAGCACTCTTACTCGCCATTGTATAATATTAAATATTGCTCACATATCTGTACAACTGGCATGGAGTTGGCGAAAAATAAAAATAGTAAAAAGAAAAAGATGCAAGAAATATTACTTCTAACTTTATCATCGTCATTACCAAAATCATAAAATATAGAGCCCAATAAAAGTGCGATTATTATGTGCACGGCCAGTCTTAGTTTTGTCATAGTCTGAAATGCAAATGAACATTCTACGCATCATCTCTACTATTTACGTATGTATAATATATTATATGTATATATTAACATTTATATAGAGACGATTATGCATTATACATTTTGCATACATTGTGTCATCCTTTACTTACATTGTCACGTATTATACATATAAAAGACCGTAATAATAAAATTTGTAATTGTTGCCACATGGATTGTTCACGATATTTATCATTTGTTAAATTATTTTTCTCATAAATTTCCGATAATTCCGTATTTACAATGGTATCAGTTGTATCTACAAAAAAACAAATTGTTTAAGTCATGTTTTAATATACCATTTATTTTATTTATATTTCATATCTCAAAAAAATTTCTCAAGAAATATCATCCTAACTTTTTAAATGTTAATACATATAAAAAAGAAAAAATACAAATTAGAATTATATATTGACAAGAAAACGTACGTACCACCACTCGTATTGTACAATACATTTTTCGATTTACGTTCATTGTATTTATCCGAATTGATTTTTTTAAGATTATTCAAATCTCCCCCACGTTGATCAGTCACAACTTCGAGAACTATAATTCGAAAGATTTATATTTGAATTTATTTTATAAACTATTATATAAATTAATTGATTTATAAACAATGACAAAAAAAAGAAAAGAAAAAAATTACCGAATTCAGCTATATTATAAAAATCTGGACAAACGTATCCAGCGTCCTTGAAAGTGTCCAAAACATTTTCACGAGGTCCGCAATATACAGTTGTACCTTGATTCATAACTATCATGGTATCGAATTGTGAAATCATTTGACTGCTTGGTTGATGAACAGCACAGGCTACCGTACATTCTGAATTTGACATCGAGTGCAACATGTTGATGATCTATGGGGTATAAACTCGTTCGAACGAATATAACTTCGATCCAAAAAAAAAAAAAAAAAAAGAAAAGAAAAAAACAAAAACAAAAATGTTATTAATTAATAATAAATCATTCTATATATTAACCTGATTAGATGATGAACTATCGAGACCGCTAGTTGGTTCGTCTAAAAGTAAAACAGCTGGTTTTGTAACAATTTCAATACCAATCGAAAGTCTTTTCTTTTCACCGCCACTTAATTTTTCTACAGGTGTTTCAAGGCATTTGGTTAATCCAAGATTTTCCACGATTTTATTAACCTATCAATCAATTATTTTCATTTATTATTATTATTTATATATATGTTATTGTGTAAAAAAGTCGAAATTAGATAATGTTAACATTCACACATATTAAATATGTTGATTAAAGATTGAATATTTAGGTTTTGTTTTCATATATTTGAAAATTTCGGACATATAACAAGAAATCATGTGAATCTTGACATTATCCACTTTTGATCTTTCACGGTAACGTGTGGATTATTTATTTTGAAAATTGCGTAAATTTGTTTTGTTTTGTTAAACAAGTTATCGCATAATTTGTGATTTATTTAGTGTGTTTCAATTGTTTTTTGTTTTTTTTTAATCAATTAATATTTAATTTATTTAAAAAAAATTCCAATATTTTATTTAAATTAGAATTAACCTATAGACAAAATATTGCGTAACTGATAATTACGAAACTGACGTAAATCCGATTACCAAAGACACACGTATTTACAAATGTTTTATTTATATTTATATAGAAAACAAAAATTAAAAGAAAAAATAACTTAAATTCGATTAATAAATAAAAATTATAGGAAAATTTTATACATTTCTATATCTACTAATATTTTATATTAAGTTTAACAATATATATATATATATATATAATTAACGTTTTAAATTAAATATAATATTCATATTTTACTTCTTCTTTTATAATTTATAAAAAGAAATTTATATTAATCACACACACACACAAATTACATATTGATAAGTTAACAGAAATATTGTCAATATATTAATTTATATATTTGAAACTATTATATAATATGTTAAACTTTTAATTTTTTCTAAACAAACAAAAAGTCTACTCTAT